AATATTTTAAAGTCTCCTTTTGGGGGTCATGAGCAATGACCCTGAACAGAATTCAGACTATTTCTCAATTCACATCCAAAGACCTCCCAAGATTCATACTAATGTTACTAAAAATGAAATGCAAATTACAACACAGGTTTTTAAAAATCACTCTCGTGCCGCTAGGTTTATTAAAAAAATAAAACCACAAGAACAACTTTTAAAGTGTTACCAGAGGATGATCCCTAAGACAGTCAGACTTTAAGACTACATAACACATACCTCAATTGCAACATTGATAGGCAACCCTCATTTACCTCAGTAGTACACAAACCTGGCATTACCTCACTGTTCATTACAGTAAGTTTCAGGTGAATCAGAAGTGTTGTATTGAGATACTAATTGTGTGTGCGTGTATATTTTGTCCTTAATTTATTTCCTGACTTTTTAAAATGCTATATTTCCTTTTGTAAATTTGTTTCTCGACCAGCTGCAGCAACTGAATGTTTCTGATTTAAAAAAAAAGTAAAGAAAAAGAAAAGAAAAATACCCAGTCTGTAATTGAAACTTGCCTATGGGGTGTATTATTTTTAAAAATTCCCCCATCGATTCACAGTTCCTCTTCCAGCTGCTTTTATCCTCATGTCCCCATAGTCTGGGACACTTTGGGTCACTCTCACATGTGGGGGGAGGAGTCATTTCGTGGAAGAGAGAAGGGAAAGCTGTTGGGGGGGGGAGGAGATTGAGATGGGGGGGACAGGGAAGGAAGAAATCTGAGTGGGAAGGAAGTGAAGGGACAAGGAAGGAGCCCCATTGTAAGATGGGTGCAGGAGGTGGGGGATTCTATAGAGGCAGGAAGAGAAGAGAGGAAGATTATGAAGGGGGAGACCTTAGAAGGAATGAGACTCATAAAGGACAGAAATGTGGGGTGGTTACAGGGGGGGCGTGAATTAGTCGGGGGGAGGGTCTCTCTCTCTCTCTCTTTCCCCGAGGGGGTGTCGACCAGTCACTATCTCTCCCCCCCCCCCCCAGCGAGGGGAGTGTGTGTGGGGGGGGGCATTGGCCCGTCACTGTCTCTCCCCCACCTCGGAGAGGAGGGGTGAGGGGTCGGTCGATGTCTCCCCCCGCCCCTCAGATGGGGAGGCTGTTGGTCAGCGTCTCCCCCCTCAGCGAGGGGCAGGGAGCAGGGTCGGTCGGTGGCTCTCCCCACTTCTCTCCCTTTCCCCCCTCGGCCGGGCGCGCAGGGGGCTGGGCTGGGCTGCACTCACCTCTCCTGTTCATGGGACGGACCCGCACCGCCACCTTCACTTTAGAGTCACCCATCCCGTCGCCGCTCCTCCGACTCTCCCTCCTCCTCGGCTTCCGTCTGCCAAGGAGGCACGGGACACCCTGCCGGCAGGGGGAAGCGGAGGGAGGAGCCTCGGGACTCCATGCGGGAGGGAACGGGACTACAGCCCCCAGCGGGCAACGCGCCACGCCTCGGGCCGCGAGGGTCAGGAGGACGTGATGCGTGCTGGGAAGCGTAGTCCCGCGCGTCCCTGTGACTCAACGTAGAGCGTTGCATGCTGGGACATGTAGTCCCTTGAGGATGCAGGGACCGTATTAGGTGGTGCCCCTGCCTTCTGGGCCGTTCGCCTCGGGCCTCCGGCAGGCTGGAGCTCCTCCCCCTGCTCCTGCTCCCCCTCCCCTGCTGCCCAGCGCGCCGCTCCGCAGCGCTCTGTTCTGAGCGGCACGGCAAGGGGGCCAGGGGGTCGGAGAAGGGGCAGGGAGGTTCTGGAGGGGGCAGTCAAGAGACAGGGAGCAGGGTTGGATGGGTCGGGAGTTCGGGGGGGGGGTCTCTCTGGGGGTGGGGATAAGGTTTTGGGCAGTCAGGGTACAGGTAGGGTCCTAGGGGGCAGTTAGGGTGGGGGGGGTCGTCAGGAGGGGGCAGTTAGG